GGTTCTCACTGGAAGTGGCAACAACAGCTATTATTAAGAGGTGCTTAAAAAAACCAGCAAAGCAAGTGTTGTATATCCAGCTAGTCTGAAAGTATTGTTATTATGCACTTAATAAAACCCATGTGTTTCCTTACAATTTCCAATCCATTAATTAGTTATTCTGTCATTTCTTTGTAGGTCATCATGAGGGTCATCAATTGAAGACTGGATGAATTAAACCTTCAGTTATATGTCCCTTGTGGTTAAAAGACAGACCAGAGACTTCAGGTCTGAATTTGTTAAAGTCCACAGGCATAGTGTAGTTATCACTTGTCCCTGTGTACCTAGACTTTAGCTTTCTGAGTCAACGAGTCTGTAAACATGGCTGGAATTACTCTTGTCCTGCTGGTGGATTCTGTGTTCATCCTAATGGTGTGAGCCAGGTTTCAACCAGAAGGCACTCTGTGCCTGCACCAGGGGCTGCCTGGAGTCACTGTTCCTGATAATCCCCCATTTATTCCCTCCCTGGTTTCCTGCACTGACCTCATGGGCTCCCTGAGCACTGCAGGTGCTACTGTGCCAGTCTCTTCTCCCAGCTATTGTGCTTATTTGTTTACACATCTTTCCCTACGCCCAAACTGTGATCCCCTGGAGGGCAGAAGCTATCATATTCTATTTGTCTTACATCCCATTGTGTTTACTGTTGATCTTCTCAACTCATTGTGGATCAGGGACAAACCAATCACCTGGTTTCTAGCCACCTGCACAGAATTAACAATAAGTGAATTTGATGTCTTTCTATGAGTGTACATTCTGCTGTTTGTGGAAATCTCCACTGTCTCTTTTTTTTATTTTTATTTTTGACAGGCAGAGTAGAGTGTGAGAGGGAGACAGAGAGAAAGGTCTTCCTTTTCCGTTGGTTCACTCCCCAATGGCCACTGCGGCCAGCACACCGCGCTAATCTGAAGCCAGGAGCCAGTTGCTTCTGGTCTCTCATGTGGGTGCAGGGCCCAAGTACTTGGGCCATCCTCCACTGCACTCCCGGGCCACAGCAGAGAGCTGGACTGGAAGAGGAGCAACTGGGACAGAATCTGGCGCCCCGACGGGGACTAGAACCCAGGATGCCGGTGTTGCAGGTGGAGGATTAGCCTATTGAGCCGCGGCGCTGGCCTCCACTTTTTCTGTTTTTTTTTTTTTTTCTTTAGTAAATATAAATTTCCAAAGTACAGTTTATGGATTACATTGGCTTCCCCCCCATAATTTCCCTCCCACTTGCACCCCTCCCATCTCCCACTCCCTCTCCCATTCCATTCACATCAAGATTCATTTTCAATTCTCTTTATATACAGAAGATCGATTCAGTATATATTAAGTAAAGATTTCATCAGTTTGCACCCACACAGAAACACAAAGTGTAAAATACTGTTTCAGTACTAGTTATAGCATTACTTCACATTGGACAACAAATTAAGGACAGATCCCACATGAGAAGTAAGTACACAGTGACTCCTGTTGTTGACTTAACAATTTGACACTCTTGTTTATGGCGTCAGTAATCTCCCTAGGCTCTAGTCATGAGTTTCTTATGTGGCCATGGTCGCATTTATTTTACTGAACTGGTCCTGGTGGGAACCCAAGTTCATGTCTTTGATTGTAGCTGCTAATTATGTATATGCTAATTATGAAATGAATATGCCAATGGCGGGGTTGCTTCTTGCACAGAGAATAGATCCTTAGGCTAATATTCCAGCCCTGGCAATTCCCCTAGTTTCTTCTCAGACTTCAAGAGATAATGGCAGAAAAAGAAGGTTCCCTTGCTCAGCGTACAGATGAGCATTTCTGAACCTGCGCCAGCGGCGAGCCACTCTGCGCATTGCAGTCAGGGAAGCAGAGAAGGAGATAAATTAGAAGGTGCTATTTGTAGGACACACAGGATGCAAACTAACCCATTCCTGTGGGAAAGCCCAAGACTTCTGGCCCTCACATGAGTGATGCCTTCTACTTTGGATCCTCATAAAGCAGACAGTAAATTTTAGAAACCATGACCCTGACTGCCAGTCCAAATGCAAATTCAACACCGCATTTCTCAAGGTTGATTCTTGAGATGGCCTGCCTGTTGCCAGTGGCAATACCGGAGAGAATCACTCAGTGAAAGTGAACCCAGGCCACAGCAGTTCTGTGCGATATGAAAGTCCCTCTTGGTTTTGAGAAAGCGTTAAGCAATTAGGTCACCGGAAGGAACTCATCAACGACAAAAATGTCAGTGCTGCGGGAGTAATTTTGGATAAGGCTAACCTTCATCTGAAAAATAAATTTGCTCCTCTCGTCTGATGAAAGGGAATACATCTTTAAATATATACTCTTCGTATCTCAGGTAATTTTAATTTTTTAAAGCAATTAATATGATATTCATCTTAGCCATTAAAGTTCTCATTCTACAAAAATACAACATTCATAAAAGTCTGATATTGAGCAACTTGGCACCTGTGCACATTTCCGCATACCAAGCTATGTTGAGTATGTGTGTGCATATCTGACACACCTTTCCACCTAACAGGATTGAGACAATTACATGCTGCACTGGTTTCTGAGGAAAGATTTTATAGCAAGGCGTACTTCTGTGTAATTAGCAAAGAAGGCCCACTTTCTGGTGGGATCAGTCCTTGCAGGAAGGTGTAGGAAGTAGGTAGGAAAACCACACAGCTACTCACTGGCAGAGCAGGTGGAGGTAGCCACTAACTTCTGTCTACACTTGCCTGTATAAAAAGGGGTGGCCTGCCAACTACACAACAGAAAACAAAAACTTCAGTAAATACAAAAACTACTTGTACCAGGGACGCAATGAATGCCCTTCTCTCAGCGCCACGGAAGAAAGCGCACATACTTCTTAGTCTATACGTGCTACGAACTGTCGCTTGGACAATGGGATACATGTACTGTAAGCATCACCTCACTTTCCCCTCCTGCCAGATCTGCATCTACACGTTTATGTCTCGATCGTTTTTTCTCCTCCTGCTTTTATTGGCCCAGAAGTGAGAGGTGCCAGTAAGGGCACACATGAGGGATACTGGGTGCCAGGCCCCTGGCAGAGCTCGGAAAACTCTCTGTTGGGCCTTCAAGGGATTTGTACTCACAAGGTGAGTCCTGAATCCTCCAGTGGAGCCGAGCTGGACTGAGCGCGTGCCAGCTCTTATGGGGCGGCTCGGGAAGCTGCTGTGATCCTTCCGAGCGGAGGAAAATGAGCTGCAGCCCCTGTGCACTTGGAGACAACGGCTTCTCCCGTTTTGAGAGGACTCCTCTAACCCCATTGTCGACGATTCCGGGCGACTGCACCAGCTGTAATTTGTCCAAGTTAAATTGCTCCGACTGGTCCAGACAGGCACAGCAACATCGCTGAGCTACCTCCACCACAGTCCTTAGGAATGCGTGACAGGCGGCTTAGCTGGGACAGCAAAGGAGCACTGCCTAGTCTACACACCTAGTCCGCCTGAAGGCAGCCAGCCTGCCATTTCACTGCTGACTGTCTGGCAACCACTGAGGTGTATCAGCGAGTGCATCTGCAGGGGCACCGTGTGCATGATGACACGGCGGGGCTGTTTCTGGAACAGACTCAAGGCAAGAGCAGGATTTTTTTTTTTTTTTAATAAACTGAGGAGCTTTTTTGCTTTAGAAAGCAACAAACAGAACATCACTGGACAGGACTTCTAATGTAAGGTTTGGTTTAAACCTGTTGAAGAAGTTAGGACAGCACCGCATCAGCTAGGTGGGGGCAGGTGAGTCCAGCTGCTGTCTGAGCGCTGCTGGGTTAGGTAGCAAAGTTAAACGGGTAAAAGCAAGAACATTAAATTGTGGGTGGAGCTCACTACTAGGAGGAGGCAGATCCGGGCTTGGACCATGGGGATATCAGAACACCCCAGGAGGAGGAGCGGGTACAGGCTCTGCGGTGGTGGTGGGGCAGGGCCCTTCCCTGTCTCTTTGCAGCTGTTTCACTTTCTATGGCGCTGAATGATGGCAAACTGCCGGGAGTCATTTCAGCCTGCGGTTGGGCTGCCGGAACCCCAGAACAGGAACTCCACTGGGGCAAGGGAGGCAGAAAGCTTTTTGTGTGGTTCTCTGGCTATTTTAATTCATTTGTAGAGCCAGGCAGCTCTGGACTGCTCCTCGCTCTCCCTCTCTCCCTCCCCTCTGCCCTTTGCTTCGGTTTCCCTGGTTACTGTGCTCTGGTGGTGGGGGGGCACCTTCAGCCCACGTTGGCCGGCCATCCACCTGCTGTCTACCTTCAGGCAATGGGGTGCTCCTCTGGCCAAATTTCCTCCACTTAAACTGGCGCACCAGGGTGTGAAGATTGCACTGATCTCGTGTTTCATGCAAGCGCAGACGCTAACTAGCGTTCTCACGGCAGAGCCATCCTGAGCAGGCTTCTCCCTGCTCTCCGGCCTTCTTCCCAGGCTGTTCTGTGACCTCGGTATTATGTGGTCGCCAGGTGCCAGAGCTTGAGGTCAATCAATGCAGCCACTATTTTAATCCCCGGGTTTTAAAGGGAAAGCTGAGAGTCACCGACGAGGGGGTGGGGGCGGGCAGCGCACCAGGCACCCCAACACCGACGGGGGTGGGGTGGGGTGGGCAGCGCACCAGGGCCCTGTGCTGACTTGCAGCCTGGACCGCGCGCGAGTGCCAGGGAGGGGGAGGCCGAGCAGCTGCGCCTCTTCCCGGGGTCGGGGCGGGAGTGGGACGCCTCTCTGCGACCCCCAGGGGCACAGCGGATCCCCCCCGGGGCGGGGGCACGGGGACTGGGGCGGGGGGGGGGGCGATTCGGAAAGGACGCCGTTGCTATTGCCAGCCACACCTGCCCTCCTGGGCAAACACCTGCCACTCCTGGGGGGCCGCCCCGACGGGTGATTTACCCGCAGATTCTGGTCCACGCCCAGCCCGAGCCACGCTGCGAGCCCGCGCTTGGGTGGCCACAGCTGCGGCGCTGGGGTCGGGGGCGGCCCCCAGGTGACGCGCGGCGCCTCCTCCCCTTTAAGGCGGGGCCCGCGGGGCCGGAGGAAGTCCCGTGGCGCTCGGCGGTGCCCTGGCCCCGCCGCGTCTGGGCTCTCCTGCGTTCGCTTGCGGCGACCCCCGTGTGTGGCAGCCCCCGGGACGCGGCCTCCCGCAGGTGAGGGCGCCGCGAGGCTCACCTGGCGGCGCGGGGTGGGCGTCTGCTTTCCCTTAGGAGGGGAACTGGGCCCCCCGGAGGAGCCGGGATGGGACTCCGGGGCGCGTACTATCCTGCAGCCGCAGGTCCGGGGGTGGGAAAGGGGTCCCGAGGCCGGAAGGCGGACACCCGCGGAGAGGGGCGCAGGGGGGTGTGCCAGGGAGGTGGGCGGCAGCCTGTCCGGGGTTCTTCTGCTTTCAAAGCCACGCGTTCACGTCCCGGGGCGCCGCGGCGTGGGTCGCCCCACTGTCGCCGGCCGAGCGTGGCCGCGGAGGTCAGCTCCTCACCTGGGGAGGCTTGGACTCGGGTCCCTGGCGCTGCCGTTCGTTCAGCCACAGGAGCGCAGGCAGCCTCAGGACATCGTGGCAGGTTTCAGAGGGTTTCTTTCGGTCGCCCCCAAGGAAGAGCGGAAAAGGCCGTGAGGATGGAGGTGAGCCTGCGAGGCGACGACTTGCGGGGAGTTCCCGGCACCTGCTGGTTCGCTAAGCCGACAGCGTGCTCTCGGCTTTTAGGGACCCGCTTCCCCAGCGCGCGTTTTCGCGGGTCTTTAGGGTCCCGGCCGCGCGCGGACGTCGCATTGGCGGGGACCCCCTCTGGTCCACAGCAGTTTCTCCTGGAAACTTGGGCTGTCTCGGACAGTCCTGAGTCCAGCCGCCTGCTTCCGGCGGGAGTTCTGTGCATCGTGATTTCCATCAGCGTTCATTCTCTGCTTGGATCAGCAGTATTTCAATTTAGCAAATACTTATTGAACCTGTGTTAGGAGCAAGCCTCGGGGAGAGCCAGGCGGATTTGCTGTTTGGTAGCACAGGTGTTGATACAAGGCGGTATCTTAGGGCGTCCATTCCCTACAGGTGGTGTTTAGAGAGAGGCCAGGGGCACCGCTATGATGGTGATTAAGTATTTAAGTGGGGGGAGATTGGTAGAGTTAGATTACTAGTCCAATCGGTCAATTACCGCCCGGAGAATGGGCAAAACCGCCCTTGGAATCTCATGGGTCAAGTGCGTGTGCTGGCACTTCACCTGGGGGCATCCAGCACACTTGGTGGATCCACGACTTCCAGGTGGAGTTGAGAAACCAAGGCAGGGAGCTCTGCACCGAGGGTGACTCCTGACAGTCCACGTTGCTGCTCCGACAAGTAGCGTGCCTCCGACAGGTGTCAGAATGCAAATTTACCTTCCTGAGCTCTACCTCCTGAGGGTGAACGTGTTAGAAACGCAAGAGGAACTGTTTCCTCTCCTGTGGTTAGGCTGTGCCCTACCTAGGATGGGGGAACAAGAGAACATTCGAACACCTGTTCTTTCCAAAGCGGTGCTGCCATCACAAAGAATACATATCCTCCTCCTGTTACACACTGCAGACCGGCTGAGTTCAGGGCATTTCTGTTCCTTAACAAAGGATAAACTTGGTTTCTTTTTGGAACTGGGAGCAGAATAGAAGCAGCTGCTGTTACCTAGAAAGGACTCTGCATCTAAGTCTACATTGGGGTGGGTGTTCAGCACCCCGGTTAGGACTCTGGGACACTCGCATCCCGTATGTGCGTGCTTGGGTTCAAGCCCCTGCGTGGCTCCAGGTTCCAGTTTCCTGCTAATGTGCGTCCTTAGCAAGCCGGAGAGGATGGCTCAGACCGTTGGGTCCCGGCTTCCCTGACTGGGAGACTGGGACTGGGTGCCAGGCTCCTGGATGCAGCCTGACCTACCCTCAGCTGTTGTGGGTGAGAGGGAGTGAACCAGCAGGCGTAAGATCTTTCTCCGTTTGTCTCTGTCTCTCTGCATTAATAAAATCTAGAACAAGCTGCAGGCATCATGCACGTATCTGATATTAGAAGACCATCTTTCCTTCAACCGATTTCTGGAGGGGAGGATGGCTGCAGTGGGCTGATTTGACTGGGACTCCTAAAGTTCCTAATTTGGTTATCAGGTAAATGATCTAAACCCAACTGAGTTTCCTGAAGTGCAAGTAGAATACCAAAGCGACCTTCAAGTTAACTATAGAATGCGACAGAAAATAGCTCCTAGAACTTACATAAGACTTGTCATGAAGAAGACTTGCTTTCTCGGAACACTCCATATAACATTTGGTAATTACACTAAATTTCTATTTAACGTACTTCGCGGCATTTTCGGTGACCCACTAAAGAAATCTCTCTCCTGTGTCGGGAGGAACGGACCATGCTTGGTGCAGTGTTCCTCTGTCTTCCTTTGACAGTGAAATTGATGTGACAGCTTGAACTCCTCTCTGGGAGCATCCAAAACCCTGTGTAGATGTTGCTAAATGTGTACTTTAAGATGTTATATTTGTGGGAGAGCAGGATAAGGGATAAATCGGAGAAATTTCCAGAAAATCCAAATGGCCAAGGAACAGAATACATAGGGGGTGGGAAGCAGGGGCTGGTGGGGTTTCATGAGGCCTGAGTGGTGGGCAGTCTGGGGCCCTCAGAAAAGTCGGAAGCTGCATACAGAAGTGACCATTTACTTAAAGTGGGACAAAGTGATGACCACTTGTGGAAAGTCTGTCTTGGCTGAGACCTTGTTGGGCAACCTAAGAAATATTTACATGGAAATGCCTCCCGAGAGCAGGCTGGCTCCCCAGTGCCTGAGAGCAGGGCGTCTCCCAGCAGCCAGCTGCTCCCGAGGGCCCAGGCAGAGAGGCTGAGGCTCTGCTACCTCTGAGCAGGAGGGAACATTGTGGTCAGAGAGGACTCCTGGCCTCTGGGGCAGAGGAGACTGCTGTATGGGGTGGCACAGGACCTGGCTGATGGGAGACTGTCCTCCCATATGCAGAGACAGTCTGTGAAGTCTGGTCTCCAAGGCATTCCTGGTTGGTCGGTCTCCCAGGGGAGTCTTTGGTCCCTGCTCACCCCAACTTGCCGTCAGCCTCTAATTCCCAAGTTGCGAGGAGACGGAGGTCCTCGCTGCTGGGAGCCTGTGTTCTGGGGCGCTGACCTCGTGGATCACGGCACAGCGGGGTGGCTGCCTGGAGTACCCTTAGCCCTTGCTGTGGCTGATGCAGGAGCTGTCTTCCGCTGGTGGCGGGGCTCCAGAGACGAGAGGCCGGGAAGGGGACATGGGACACATGGACGTGGAACCCCGCCCTCTCCTCCATGCTCTTGGTGATGCTCCCGGCCAGTGTTTCTTCTCCCCCTGTCCTTCCAGCTCAGCATCGTCTACACACCTGCGAGGGGCCTGTTAGATGAGTACAGCCCCCGGCCCTGCATCAAAGTCTGCATCCTGTGTCTCTGGAAGCCTCCAGATGCAGGCCACACATGGACAGCCCCCCACTCTTAGTGCTGTAAGAACTGGTGGAGATGGAGGCCCCCGTAAGGATACCGTCCTGAGCCGTCCTTAGTGTCATACTGAAGTAATCTCAGATCCGAAAATCTATCACACGTCCTGAGACGTCGTGAGTGCCATGCAGGCTGCGTATCTGTAATCTGAAAATCTCAGATCTGAAAAGCTCCAATACCTGGAACTTTATGTACAGGTATAATGCCACAAATAGAAAATTTTTGTAGCATAAAACTGTCAATAGCATGCTGCCTACCTTCAGTGTATAAGGGGTGTATGAAAATAAAGGAAATTTTCCCATCTCCAAAGTGTTTCATCAATTCCAAAGTCTAGAAAAACTACCCCCAAAACTCTGGTTGCAAGCATTTTGGAGAAGAGGCTCACAGCATGCTGAGCAGTAACCTGTGTTACTACCGCACCATCTGTTGAGCCCTCAGATTGTGTCCGGCATTGTACTAAGAAATAGTACCTGTTTAATCATCAGAACAACCCCAAGGAGACGCAGGGCTGTTATCACTTGGATTTAAATGTGAGAAAACCGAGATGTGGAAAGACAAAGGGAGCTGCCCAGGGTCACACAGTCGGAAGGGGTTCAGCCAGGATTCGGGCACAGCTGTCTGGCTCCAGGATCTTCCAACCCTTCTGCCTAGGGGGTTTGTGTCGATGCCACTCTGGTGTGGTGCCTTTTGGAAGGCAGGCTGGGGACCGCTTAGTGCTTCTGTTTACTGATCATTTGCTCTCCTCTTCGTGCTCAGTCTTGCTTAGAGACAAGTTCCCAGATTAGAAAGGAGGAATGCTGGTGTCCTTCACCGCTAGCCCAGACTTCTAAAATCTCACGAGGGAGTGACCATACGTGCACATGTATGATTGCAGATCACGGAAGTGCCTCTTCCTGTAGATGCTCGTGGGCCCCAGTGGAGTTCCTAGGAAGAGGCCGCGTAGGTGACCGTGGGAGGCAGCTCATTTCAGAATGCTGTTTGATCTGCATGTTGGCACAGGGCCTTCTCCTAAAGTCTGGCATCTTTCCCAGGCCACAGAGGACTTGAAGGTGACAGTGTGTTCTTCCATTATGTCTTGGAAGGTGTTCAGAAGAGCTTTGTCTTGCCCTATGATGGTATTTTGTGTTTGTTCCTGAAAACAAGTGTCCACATTTTTTTGTAAAGATTTATTTATTTGAAAGGCAGAGTTAGAGATTGATCTAACTGCTGCTGGTTTACTCTGCAAATGGCCGCAATGGCTGAAGCGGGGCCATCCAAAGCCAGGAGCCTGGAGCTTCTTCTGGGTCTCCAAAGTGGGTGCAGGGGCCTGAGGACTCGGGCCATCTTCCAGTGCTTTCCCAGGCCATAGAGAGCTGGATTGGGAGTGGAGCAGCTGGGGCTCAAACTGGTGCACTTATGGGATGCTGGCACTGCAAGCGGCAGCTTTACCCGCTCTACCACAGTGTCAGCCCTTGTCCACAACTCTGTGTAGTTTATCCTAGAATGGTTCCATCATGTTGGGCAGCATGAGTAAGAAAGCATAGCTAGAGATGTGAGTACATGTGAGAGTGTGTGCAGTGAAGGTTGATGCCCTGGGCAAGGACTCAGGATACTGTCCTCACTTCTCCAGAGGCGAACGTTGATTTGAGTTGGAGGTGGACTGCAGAGTCCAAGTCGGCACAGCAGCCGACTCCTCCA